AGAAAAGCAACAATCCGACATTCACGCCCACTCCACGACGTGATTGGCCAGCTGTGCGGAGGCGAGGAAGCGAGCAGGATGTGAACTTCTCTTCTCTTCCACTCTTGAGACAAATATTTCTGTCACTTTTAAACAAACTAGTGCGAAACGCTGAACGTCTGCCAGGAGAGAAACTGATCCAGCAGCACTTTAAATCCCCCTGTTACACATTTATTAACAGTATATAAACTTTAATAAATGGTTTTTAACACACTGAAATGTATTTGTATAACGATTTCTATTCTGTGTTTATATGATGGAGACAAATAAGTTGATTTATTTACTTCCAACAGATGTTACAACTTCCTCTTTTCTGTTTTCTGTTTTCATTTTCAAAACCAACATTTTGATGTTAAGCTTCCTGATTCTTTAACCACTGACTCTGAGATACAAAGTCATTATTTTGAGCACGTTTTCTCATTATAACAATGATAATGAAATTGGCTCATTCCACATGAAACAGAAATTCCTCCAGGTAGATCTTTAGGCAATGTGAGTTATACTGTTTGTCCACCAGGTGGAGTTGGACTCCTTCATATTGGACTGAAGTTAAACCTTCAAAGAGATTATTGAACTGTTTTATTCCCTATAATACGGCTTATTGTGTCAGCAGAATGACATTATAGAGTCCAGAGTGTTTCCATGTGACCTCGGTGCTGGTTTGAAAGGGTTGAATTTAAATGCTTGTGATTTAATTTTAAGTCCTTAAATGATTTTGAATTATGTGTAAGTGGTTTAAACAGCTTTAAACGGCTGAATAGTAGTTTGAGTTTATATGAAAATAACAATTTTATGATCACATTAATCCTGATTAATCAATATTTCTGATATTGAGCTTTAATTTCACCTACAAGACAACAAAAAAGCACCGACACTTTCATTGATTTCACTGCCGTCTGTTGTTGTTTTCTATCTCCAGAGGAAACAAGGAAACGGATGCATCCAGTCTTTAAAAACTCTACTTCCCATGATGCATCTGTGGCTCCATGTTTATCGATCGGCAGGCTGAAAGCTTCACTGCTGCAAACAGATCAGAGAGTAAAGTTTTATTCTTTCTGTCTTAAAGGAACGAGGAAACACTCTCTCTCACACACACACACACACACCTGAGGAATGTGGGTAATAACAATGAGGTTAATAACAAAGCTATGAAGTGATTCAAGGTCATAAAGTTAAACAACCACCGGTCAAGACTTAAAGAAACATTCAACAGTGGAAAAGTTCTTCTGGACTTAAACTGACACTTCAGCTTCTTTCAGTGCTTCATCGTAACACTTCCATTTATATTAACTCTGCTTTTATTAACATTAACATTAACTGATGATGTCAGTTTAACGTTTGATCGGACCTTTCGAGGCAACTTCTTCAGACACTTCAACTCCTTTTATTGCTCACGCTCGAACTGACACTTCAGCTTCATTCAGTGCTTCAATACAACGTTCGTACGATTCAGTGTGAGCTGCTTTTATCATGTCAAGTTTTATATTTCATCTTCAGCTCAGTCAACACTTCAACTCCTTTTAATAACTTACACTTCAGCTGACATCATCTTCCAGTCTGTAGGTTTTATCTGACACTAACCTCTTCCAGTATTTTTTATCACCTACACTTCATTTCAACTCCTTTCAGTGTTTGAACTTCAACTACCTCAGCATTAGATAGATAGATAGATAGATAGATAGATAGATAGATAGAAGATAGTAGATAGATAGATAGATAGATAGGATAGATAGATAGATAGGATGATACTTTATTTATCCTGAGGGAAATTCAAGTATCCGGTAGCATACAAAATACAAAACATACATTTAACGTACATTAAACATGCATTCAACTCAAATTAAACTAAAATTAAAAACCCTGACCTCAAGAATAAATTTACAAATAAAAGTATTAGATATATATATAATATATAAAATGAACGGTATCTACAGTAAACAAATGGAAGTAAAACGTTGATCTTCAACTCATCCTGAATCGTTTTTCACCTTAAAGCTCCAGTGTGTCACATTCAGGATCTATCGTCAGTCATATAATATTAACAGGTATGTTTTCATTAGTGTTTAACACCTGAATATGAGAATTATTGTGTTTTTGTTAACTTATAATGAGACTTTTTTATCTGGGTCGCCTTCCACGGAGCCCGCCATGTTTCTACAGGAGCCTAGAACGGACAAAACACACTGGTCCTTTAATATTTAATATTTCAACACACTGTTTGTGTGTTTTTGGGGACAAATAAGGTGATATTTTACTTCAACAGACGTATAACTTCCTTGGTCCCTGGACCTGGATTTTTTGTTTTGAAATGAGAAAACTAGAAAAGGTTTCCTGTCTACCATTTATAAATATGAGGAACAAAAGAAGTTGTTGTTTAACTTTCTGTCTTTTATGGAAAACAGGTCATTTCCCGATTTTGGTTTCCTCATTTAAAAATGTATATCTTTTGTCCTTCTGTGCCTTCCTACACTTCGACTCCTTTCAGTGTTTAAACTAATTCACACAAACTCTTCAACTTCACTCAGCTCTTACGTATTTAAACTAATACATAAGTCTCATTCAGCAGCTCTGTCTTTACCACCACATCAACTTCTTTCACTCTTTCACTACTGAAACTGTTTCATCTGCTAATTTTAGCCAGAGTCCAGATGGAGAAACAGTTCAATCAGACCGCTCTGAGTGTCCCAGAAGCCTCCTCAGTGTCCTTCAGAGGACTGGAAGCAGGAAATCTGTGTGTGTGTGTGTGTGTGTGTAAAGCAACAACAACCATAAAAGGAACAAAACAAACTTCAAGTGTTCGGTGTTGCCGATCCCACCTGTGGACAGGTAGAGGCGGAGGCGGAGGGATAAAAAGCCAATCCACTCGCAGATCAGCTTTGTGTCTGGTTTCTATCCTGAGTACGACTGTGCCAAAGTTCAACGCTCACAAACGGCGGACAATAGGAGAAAGAAGACACTGGACTAGATGTTCTGGAGCAGATTGTGTGTGACCCTGAGACAGATGAAAGCAAACACCTGAGAGTATTCAGGTAGAGCAGCGCAGCAGGATGTAAGTATAATGCACAGATTTATCAATCAGTGATTAATTAAAGTGTTCTCAGGCTCCTGTAATGTTTCACTGCGAGTTAACGTTCAACTCTTGTTAAGCCTGAACAGACGTCTGTAACAGCAGTTAGGGTTAGCAGATATTTTATTAATTTAATCTGTTGTTTTTGATTATTATTGATGAGAATTTTATGTTACTGTGTTGAATCTTCTGCTGTACCTTTGTCCCCTTCAGAGGACGAATATTCATCAACTTGTTTTACCCTAATGGGAATCACATAGTATATATTCAGGACTCTACTTAATTTGTAAGAAATTTAAGATCTTTTACTTTCTCTGTATTTAACACACAGCAGCCAAAACTAGAGACAGAGTGCAACAACTGATCTGAACTGAAAATAACTGACTCGTTTCGAACGCTGCTATAAGACAAACAATCAGGCTTAAATTTACAGAAGAGTGTTGTTATTATTTGCTTTTTCTTATTTTAATCTGAATTGTAAAAGTTATAGAACTGTAATAAAAGTCATTATCTGTGAAATAACATTTAAATAACATAAAAAAAACTATTAAAGGAGAAAGAAGAAACTGTAATATAAGACTTCAACTTGTAATTTAGTATTTTTCCATTGTGGTATTACAACATTTAATATTTGAGTACTTCCTCCCTCCATATTTACATAAAGTACAAAAAACATCTTGTAGAAGCTGGAAACTTCCTTAATTTATTTATTATTTATGTGTATCATAATAAACATCATATTTGCTTTTATTTTTGAATATCTGTGTTTGTTTTATCTCAAGTTTAATCAAGTTAATCAATAAAACACAATCAACAGAATCTAAAATAGTTAATATTAAAGGAATAGTTCAACATTTTGTGAAATGCTTTCATTTGCTTTCTTGCTGAGAGTTAGATGGAAATACTGACACTCATACCTGTACAGTAAAAATTAAGCTACAACTAGCCAGTTAAAAACAAAAGTGAAATTCTACCTTTAAATTTGACCAATGGGCTGTTTATTCACCCCAAACAGCCAATATACCGACTGACAGTGGTTAGAGAAAGATATCTCAAATGAAACCAGAACTATGTGTCGTATAAGATATTAATCTATGTTCTTTGGTCTGTTTGTCAGTCCGTCCATCGGCAGCGACCTCAGTTTTAATTGACCCAAACCAACATGGCCACCAGGAAGGCGGCGGTCCAGCGAAGGATCGTGTCCAAAGACGGCCACAACAACGTCCGGATCGACAACGTGGAGGGAATGGTGAAGCTGTACCTGCACGACATCTGGACCACCGTGGTGGACATGAAGTGGCGCTACAAGCTCACTCTGTTCGCCTCCACCTTCGTCATGACCTGGTTCATCTTCGGGGTCATCTTCTACTTCATCGGCATGGGCAACGGAGACTTCGAGGCCACTCTGAATTCCAGCCACGTTCCCTGCGTGATGCAGGTGGGGACGCTCACCGGCGCCTTCCTGTTCTCCCTCGAGTCGCAGACCACCATCGGCTACGGGTTCCGCTACATCTCCGAGGAGTGTCCTCTGGCTATCTTCACTCTGGTGGCTCAGCTCGTCATCACCGGCCTGGCCGAGATCTTCGTCACCGGCGCCTTCCTCGCCAAGCTGGCTCGGCCCAAGAAACGAGCGGAGACCATCAAGTTCAGCCAGTCGGCGGTGATCTGCTGCCGCCAAGGGAAGCTGTGTCTGATGGTGAGGGTGGCGAACATGAGGAAGAGTCTTCTGATCCAGTGCCAGCTGACGGGGAAGCTCCTCCACTCCAATGTGACGGAGGAAGGCGAGAAGACGCAGGTCCACCAGAGCTCCGTGGACTTCTTTATGGACTCCAGCAGCGAGTGCCCGTTCCTCATCCTCCCGCTCACCTTCTACCACGCTCTGGACGAGCGCAGCCCGCTGGCGGGGCTGAACGCCGAGAACCTGCTCACCCGAGAGTTCGAGCTGCTGGTCACCCTCAACGCCACCATGGAGTCGACGGCAGCCACGTGCCAGAGCCGCACCTCCTACGTTCCCCAGGAGATCCTCTGGGGCTACGAGTTCAAGCCGGTGCTGTTCAGCACCACCAGCGGGCGCTACGTGGCGGACTTTAACTTTTTTGACAAAGTACAAGTGAGCAACGACGCAGCGTTCCTCAGTAACAACACAGAGAAATTGAAACTGGAGGAGGACTTTAAGAAAGAGTAAAGGACGCTTGTGTTTGTGATGTTTGATGTAACTGTGATGTGTTAGTTGGGTCTGGATGTTATATTGGAGGACTAACAGTTCATTTTTGTACAATATTGTATAGAATGTGATTTCCCCCCCCCCCCAACAATGTGACTCAGGGGCAGAAAATGCACATTAATCTTGATAAATCTTCAAAATAATGTGTTAAAAACAGAAATTAACATAAAAAATAAATGTATTTAAAGAAATGTCTAAAGATTTGACTTCTAATTCCACTGTTAGATATTAATATCCAATTTCCTAAAGTGCGACAATAATGATTTTGTGTTCCATGAAATCATTTTTTTGTTTAGATTATTAATTTAATCATCATCATTAGTGTTTAATATATTCATTTTTATGTTTTAATTTTACTTTCCACTTTTGACAGACCTACAGCTTAAGCTAGCAATCCCACCTGTTTCCAGTCTTTGTGCTAAGCTAAGCTAACGTCTTTCTTTGTGGTGGACAGAAACTGAAACTGGTCGGTTTTTTATTGTTATTAAATTATTATCTGACTCTGGGTAAGATGATGAATTATTGTTTTGAACAAAATAACAAAAGATACTGAATTTACCATTTCATTGTCAGCATGTTGTGTAAATATTTCTGCATATGATTTGAGTCGGATCAATAATTGTCAGTTTAAGAGGATACATATGAATCAACTGTAAAATGTTTGTTTGTTTTGTTGGGATGAACAAATAGATTATAATGGTGTCATAAAACACTGGGTTTGGTGGTACAACAGGATGTTAAAGGTTAATAAAAATGGATTAGTGTTGTAATAAAATGTTTCTTTATTAACCCTGAATTATTATTTAAACATGATAAAAGTGTTTTAATGTGTTTAAAACTGCTTAAATAATGGAAATATGGACTTTTTGTACCATAAAATCAAAGTTAAATTAGTTAAATGAATATGATTTGAATTGTTATTTGCCACGTATGGTAATAATAATCTGTAATATGCAGATGTTTAAATGAAATGTGTTGAATGTGTTGTATTGAATGCTGGAGGCTCCAGTCTGTAGGAACAATAGAGAACGAACAGAACGATGAATGAATGAAGGAATGAATGAATGAAGCCGTTTAAAGGACAGAAACAGGTTGAACCACCGGCTCAGTTGTCGTTAGCCGTTAACTTTTGTTGTGGCAACACTGAGCAGCGTTTGTATCGGGTCAAAACAATCTTTCAATCCAAAGCACATCTGATCTTTAACTGCCAGACACACAGAGGAACTTTATTAACCAACTGAGCTGAAAAGACGTCACTGTAAACGAGTTCCTTAAACAAAATGACCAATGCACAACACAACACAACACAACACAACACAACAAGTTTTTTTTTATTTTTAAACTAACATGTTTATAGTTTAGTTTCAGTTAACTATTATAATTTTGGTTTTAACATATAACTTTGGTCGATTACGTGGCAATTTTGAACAGTTCACAAAAACATATTTTTGTTGTTACCTTGAATGGAGATTATTTTGGTTTTAACTGTATTGATTTTAGATTTTCACATCAACCCAAATGACATTATAAAAGCAGGTTAAACAGAATAAATTGGGACGATTTCTTCAGTAGAAAGTAGTTCCTGTTCATTTCTCTTTTAACAAGTAATGTTATTACTTATTTCTTTATTACTCCCTGCCAACAGTAATTAGTTACAGCGATAGTTATATTTCTTTTTTCAGACTTGTGACAATTAAAATCCAGTTTTGTTTGTTAAAATTAAAGTTATGTACATATTCTCAGCTTTTCCATTTATGCAGCTAGTTTTCTTCACATTTTACATAAAGTAATATTGTAACTAATTATTTTTTTGCTGGGGTAACTGTAATATTATTACTGAAATATATCAGTAATTAGTTACACTACTAGTTAACTACAAGTTAAGAGTTACTGCCCAACACTCTTGCTTTATTTATTTTATTATATTATAATGCTTTAAGCACCTTAAATTAATTATTATCAGTTTCACAACAGTTGAACTTTTAAAGAAACTAAAATTATTTTAAAACTATCCGGTTGGAATTGTAGGAAATGACGCTTTTACGTTGAAGGACTCACACCGGAAGCTCTTTTACTCTGAAAGGTCGCGTTGTTGTTGTTGCGGAACAAAAAATCAGACGAATAAATAAATGCAGATTAAAAACAAACTGAATGAGTTGGTTGTATGAAGAATAAAGAACCCGGGAGAGAAGATGAGTGTCACTTTGGATATTCGACTGAAACGAGCGAACAAAGTTTATCATGAAGGAGTGAGTACACACAGCTAACGGTAGCTAACGAGCTGCTTTAATGTCTCTGTTTCAGGGTTTAAATGAGTTAAAACTGCTTTAATGGTCTCTGCTCTTCGAGTGTTAATGGAGGTTAAAATGCTTTAATGTCTCTCGTTTTCAGTGTTTAAATGAGTTAGAAACTGCCCTTTAACTGTCTGCGGTTTCAGCGGGTTTAAATGAGGTAAAACTTGCTGTTAATGTCTCGGTTTCAGTGTTGTTAAATGGAGGTTAAAACTGCCCTTTAATGTTCTGTTTCAGTGTTTAAATGAGGTAAAACTGGGCTTTAATTCTTTCTGTTTCAGGGTTTAAGCATGAGCTTAAACTGCTTTCAATGCTCTGTTTGCACGGATGGACCATCAGGCTGATCGGGTGTACAGTAAAATCTGTCCCCCTGCGTCAGATTCTGTGCAGCCTCAAGCGTCGACATTTAAAAAAAAAAAAAATAAAAAAAAAAAAAAAAAAAAAAAAACGATGAGAAAAACACTGATTTTATCGATCAGATGATTGACAGGTGAGGTTGAGTTGTAGGAGACTGTCTATGAAACCAAGTTGACGGGATGCCATTAAAGAGTCATAAAAATACAGTTTACTTGACCATCTAGGAATGATATTCTTTAATAAGCAGCAAACTGCATGATGCCACAGTCCTTTTAAGATTTAACTTTGATAATCGTATAAAACTATCTATTCAATTTCCGGGGGTAAAGTCCGGACAGGGTAATTGATTTTGTGGTTCAGCTTTTTTGAGGTTATGAGTTACTTAATTCTTGAATCATCATCATATTGTTTCAACTATTGTCATTTATGTTTCCATGTTTTTGAAGTAGAATTGGGGATCGACAGGGTTGAAACTTTAAAGTAAAATGTATTAGTTTGGGTTCCGAATCATATTTTCTGTTAGCGTCACAAAATGATTTTTAAAACAATAATTAATGCTAGCTATAGTGATACGCGTATTATATTGGATCTGTCATTTGTGACAAAACCAGCATTTAAAGTGAATATTGACGTTACCTCTATAAAGCACCAGTATAATTATTACTGCTTCTACTGATGCTGCATTGATAGCGGACTTGTGAGTTTACATTTGTCTTTTTGGTTTGTTTTGTTTGGTTGGTGTTCTGTTTCATCATTCAAATCAGCGAATATTACAAACACACACAAACAAAGAACATCACAACCCAGTGGGATACATTTTAGAAAGAAATATCCCAGACCGGTTGAAAGCATTACAGATACAAAAAACAGGAGGTAAGTCAGATTACAGTATTACATTTAGTGAAAGCAGATTACAGTTTAACAATCCATCCGTTTTTCTTTAAAAATACTCTGAGCAGTGTTGAGGTAATCCAAAAGTAATATAAAGTAATCAAGTTACATTATTTGAATATCGTGATGCTTGGATTAAGTTACTGACTACATTTTTAATTAATTAGAAATTGTGTTGGACTCAGTTTTTAAAGTAACCCTGGAAATATACGTTCAATTCCTCCTGAGGTCACAGAATCTGATGGGTCACAGGATTCAGTGTCACACCGGTACCGACACTGTTGGCGCTGTTTGGTGCTGATGTGGTTTAACACAGCATCCGATCTGACACCAGTTCAGTGTGTTAACGTGACTTTTAACTGTGGACACTCAGATCTTTGTAGCCGTCAGGAGCTCAGCGCTGTTGTTTTGTGTACAGGAAGTGGTGGCCGGCGTCATCCTGCTGGTGTGTAAGGAGGCGCTGCAGCACCACGGGATCTCTCTGAGCATGGAGGGCCTGGTCAACCTGCAGCTGAGCTCCAAGAGCGTCGGCGTCTTCGAGGCTTTCTACAACTCTGTCAAGGTGCAGGTTTTGTTGTCTCTTGTTTGACGTGGTTGTGGTCTTACACCGGATCCAACTGGGTTCGCAAAGGTGAACAATGTCCTATTTACTTCGATTGTTTCAGTTCTTAACATTTAAGATTTGTGAGGTGAAATAAAATGTTTCTGACATTACCTGAAAGTCTAAGGAATGGTTTTCATAATGGGGAGTTATACATAATAAAATACACAACCAAATATAAGTTTCATAAGTGTTTCAAATTTTGTTTGCGATACTGTGAACAAAAAACACATATTTACAGATTCTGTGAGTGTTAAAGATCCCCTCCAGATGGGTGTTAATACATATAAGTTCCACATTTAATCCTTTAAAAAGGCAGCTACTTCTTCTACCTTATTGAAGATTCAAGAATCTATGAATATGCACATTTTGTTCATGTCTATAAGTCCTGTGTGAACTGGGTTTGCAGAAACAGTGATGGTTTCTGTCACCATCTAGTGGTTGAGTAGCTTTACTGCAGACAGACTCCTTCACCTTTAACCAGACAAATGTTCTGAAGAAAGTACTCCGATTTTATTTTTTTTAGTTTGATTTATTTTCTAGTTTTATTAATGTTTATATTAAAACTCAAATGCAGACGTGTGGACAATTTAGAGTTTCCAATTAAGCTGCATGTCTTTGGAATGTGGGAGGAAACCGGAGACACCCGGGGAAAACCCACGTCAACACGGGGAGAACATGCTAACTCCACACCGAAAGGGCCGAGGCCGCAGAGCGAACCTTCAGCCTTCTTCCTGTGAGGCCACGTGGGGCCACCGTGCTGCCCTCGCTCTTAAAAAGGATTTTTAGCTCAAGGTTTGTGAGTCTATCAGTCTAGACTGTATTTCCTCAAACCCAGTCTGACAAATCCTTCTTAAGAGTTTGTTAAAAAAAAATCACTTGTGTTTTGAAGATGAACAGAACATGATTTTAGAAACAGGACCGGGGGTAAATGACTGGGCGCTGGATACTTGCGTGTTCTACTTGTTGCAGGAGGTGAACGGCTTCCTCAGAATCCTGGCCGCAGAAGAGACCATCCTCAGGATGGCGGGGCGCTTCTGTTCCCTCTGCGGCGGCGATCCTTTCTCAGAGTTAGACACCGATGGGTTGATTGCACAGACCGGACTAACTTTGTTCGTCTTTCTTCTGAAAAGTTTCTTAACTTCGGCTACAAAGCTGGTGTTTTTTCCAGAAGGAATGCGAAGCTGTTCTTTTATTGTCCGGATAACGGCTTCCTCAAAAGCTGCGTCACCGGATGCCATGGCAGCCTGCAGCAACTTCGGAGATCCAAAGTTGCGACAAAGTTCTTTGTAGACAGGGATGTGGATGTTTCCAACAGTCTGTGGGAGAATACATTCTCCCACAGTCCTCGCTCTCAGGCGCTCCAACGACCCATCGAAGTCCAGGTCCAACACGGACGTGTTGGTGGAGCAAGCGATTTGATCCAGGAGCTTCCCGAGAAGCACAGCGAGAAAGGTCTTATCTCGCTGTAGCAACTCGTCTGCAGAGCTGGCAGAACACTGATCACCTGAGAACACCGATTTCTGCTGCTCTGAAGCAGAGCCGAGTCTTCCGGCACCCTCGATGCTAAACCCCTCGACACCCGTGACCTGGTCTGGAGAGCAAGCATTCGGCGGGCCAAAACCTCCCCAAATGTCGGACACGTCATCCGGGAGAGCAACTATCGGGGCCAAACTCCCCCAATCGCGGGACACGCATCCGGGAGAGCACTATCGGGGCCAAACTCCCCAACGTCAGGACACGTCATCCCTTGCAGAGGCAACTATCGTGGCCAAACTCCCCAACATCCGACACGTCATCTGGAGAGTAGTCCTCGCTGCCAGACTCCCCAACATCTGACACCTGGTCTGGACAAGAAACCTCAGAGGAATCACTCTTCAGAGATTCTTCATCCTCAGGTGACTCAAGATCTGTCAAGATCAAGTGCTTCAATATACGGCAGATGTAGTAAACCATGTAGCTAGTCTGACGTGTACTGGAGGATTTGGACTCGGCAGGCTCCGTGATTACAGCCAGTTTGCCGTTCACCTTCTTTGTTACTTCTGCTGAGAACAGCTGCAGTAACATTTCAGACTCGTAGGTCCTCTGCTGTCGGTATCCCAGCGCATTACCGAAACAGAAGTGAAGCGAATCCCCAATGCTGGCTTGGATGTCTTCCTCTGTCACGTAGCGATAATTCCTCTGTGGAGTTTCACTGCTGTCCCTTTAAAAAGAGAAGAAATTAGTCAGCTGATCTGCTCTGGGTGGTGGGATTCAAACATGGTAGCAGATGATTCAGATTGTGGTTGATCAATAACTGTTTGGACTCGTGAAGGTTGCAATGTGGCTGTTTGAGAAGAAAGTTAACTGAGTGTTGGAAGGTTTTGACTTACCTGGTACAAATCCTGCTGGCGTTCCCGGCATCCTCCTGAGCGGTCCTGCTTTGAATCTGAGGTGCCACGGCTTTTGAGATCGTGTTGCTGAGGTACTGTGTGAGTACGCGACACATGTCAGACAGCAGGATGATGGTGTTGGTGTTGGTGTTGCCTTGAGCCAACAACATCCACTGCCTGGAAGGACAAATTAAGAGTGGTTAAGCAAAAGAACCATGTAACCGGCGTATGTATGTACAGTTAGAACTCCTGCAACTGGTTTGATCGATGACTCTTAACGTGACGTACTTGTGTGTAATGTCATGTACAAATGAATTGATGACGGAATCAACGATGCGTGATGTGGACAAGGGAACGTCCAAATCGCTGCACCTCAGTTCTCCCAGTTCTTCCCATAAAATCTAGAAAGAGAAAAAAATCAATGTTCAGCAAGTGGGAATCTTTTACACGGCAACAAAAGAAACCTAAAGAAATCTACGTGTTTAGTGTGATTTTTCTCGTAACTTGAAGACAAATATAAATCGAACTATAGTATTCCATCAGAAGGTGAACCGACGGGAGCTGAAAACTTTTTCCCTGAACCGTCGAGTTCCACTGTGTTTCTGTGTGATTGTGTTTGTGATTGTGTTTGTGATTCAAGGCTAGATTTTCTTACTTTGTTATCCATGTCGAAGTCCGCGTGTTCAACTTCTGTTGTTCTCGTGGTGAAGGTCTGTGTAGATCTGTTCACTGCGACGTCTTGAGCTCATAAAGTGACTGTAGAGCAGACTTTATCGCAATGTTCTAGAATGTCACATCAAAGAAACGGAACTCTGGAACATTCTATGTTCCACACACACACACACACACACACACACACACACACACATTCCAATGCTTACTCAGCATTTTAGTGTAAATTCTTTTTTAAA